TGTGGGTTCTTGTTTTTGTGCTTTTTTGGGTTTTCTTTTTCTTATAACAGATGTTTCCTGCTTGGTTTCTTTATGTTGCTATTATCAGGTTTTAGTTTCGGAATCTAGTTCCTGTTTGTGGTTTTGTTTATATGTAATTCCTTGAGTTTCAATCTCTGTGTTAAGTGTTCCTGTTTAATTTTGGTCATCTTTTGTGTTTTGTGTTTAATTTAACTTCTGTTGTCTCATCAGCTCTGATTGTAGCTGTGTTGCCTTTGGTTTCCACTCTACCCCGAGTGGTTGTATTTAACCCCTCTGTTTGCATCTATTCTTTGTTGTGCTGTATTGTTGTTGTCCCTGTGTGCTGTCTGCCAGCTGATGGATCTTGTTGACTTTTTGGAATTTGCTATCAGCCTAAATAAAGGTTTGCTTTTTGTTTACATCCATCTACATGTACAGCCTGCTTTTGGGTCATCACTTCTGCAAAACATGACAATAGATAATTAAACTTAAAAACTGTGGCTCAGTAAAGTATCAGCACAATAATGTTTTCTTTTGGCATGTCTCTTTCTGTCTTCTTTCTCATTTTGCTAAACATTAGACTCAATCATTCGATTGCTGCATTTCACTTCAGTGCGGCATACTCATTTTTTATGTACTCTCTAAGGACCTGTAACTGAGAAACCCTTCTTAGTATCAAGGTAAAATTTGGCAGACTTTTTTGAATTCATTACACCAAACTTAGCTGATTCAGATAGACTCAGGCACTCACTCATGTTTCGTGGAATAATAAGAATGTATTTTGAAAAAATTGAATACATACTACTTTACCCACTCGGACTTTATTTTTGTGATATCTGCACAAATCCAGCATTGTATTTTCAAGCCAAAATCCTGCAAACACACACAAAATTGTTTTTTTTTGCTAAATACGAATGCTGCAGCTGTTAAATTAACTAACATTTTGCATTAGCTACTTTTCCCATTACCCATTTTTACAGGTAAAAATGTCTCAAAAGACAATGAAGAAGTTCAAAAAAGGAATAAATAAACATGTAAAGGCTTAATGCCACTTTTACCACATTTTCAGCTGATATCCATCCACTGATGTCTGCAGAATGAACATTACCTTGGGCCAGATAACCCACCATGATTGGTCTCACTAGCTTAGGCTACATTAGTTTTGCCTCATAACAAGGAAACAAAGCCAGGAGTCTCATTCCTTCTTGTCTTCTTTCTCTTCTCACCCTCTGGGTTTGTGTGCATATGAGCATTAAAACAGAAGCTGCACCTATGCTGCACCTATGCAGCTTCTGTTTTAGCCAATGAAAATCCAGGTTAAAGCTCAATCATGCAAAAAAGAAATCATATGTGAACATGGTCCAGAAACCATTATCTCTGGGCCAGAAAACTGTCCTGTGGTCAGACAAATCAAAATCTGAAATTCTTTTTGTAAAACATGAACACTGCATCCTCTGGACTAAAGAGGAAAGGGAGCATCTGGTTTGTTATCAGCGCTCAGTTTAAAAGCCTTCATCTCTGATGGTATGGGGGTACATCAGTGCCTATGGAATTGGCAGCTTGCACATCTGGACAGCCTGGATCAGTGCAGGTTATGCATTCCCAACCAGATGACATCTTTTTTCGTCGAAGGCCTTGCATATTTAAGCAAAAAAACAAAACAAACACCCCCCCATCCCCCCACTCACACACAGTGCATCTATTACAACAGCATGGCTGCATAGTACAAAAGCTGAGCGTTGAACTGACCCGCCTGCAGTTGAGATCTTTAAGCAACTGAGAACATTTAGATCATCATGAAATGAAAAATATGCCAAAGGAGAGCCAGGACTGCTGAGCAGGGAGAATCTGATACCAGACAAGAATGGAACAACAAGAGGGGATGCTAATGTTAAACATGGCCCTGTCCCAATTTTATTGAGATGTGTCATTGCCCAGCAATTTCAAACTGACATATGAATGATTTATATTTTTCTTAAAATGCTACATTCTTTAAATTAAAACAATATGTTGTGTTTTGAATGAAAAATTGGTGTATGAGAGCTGCAAGTCATTGCATTCTAGTGTATTTATTTATATTTCACACCATGTGCCAACTTTTCTGAAATTGAGCCTGATGAAGCCAAGTGGCTATTGAAAGCCAAACTAAGAAATACTTTAACTGCAGTTGTTTATTTATGTTTTACGGCCTTTTTATAGTTTTATTTGAAAGGGTACAGCGAAGAACGACAGTAAAGCAGAGGGGGAGAGAGAGGGGAGAAGCAAAGAGCCATGGGTCGAATTCAAACCCGGGCCGGCCGCTCTCAGCCATGGTCGCCTGCTAATCCCAGTGAGCTAAACCAGTGCCCGCCTTCAGTTGTTTATTTAGTAATGGGTATTTCATGGCAGAGGGACTTGAACCAAAGTTTTCTGTGAAAATCACAGAAATTCAGCAAAAACTAATAACTCAGCACAGTGAAAAACAAAGCATTAGTCAGGGAACAGTATTAGTCAAACTTGCCATTGGTAGTGCCATGGTCCAGTCTTGTCACAGGAATTCGTTTGTCTCTGTAATGACAGTGCTGTCTCTGCACCCAGTGAACCTGGAAAGCACACAACAAAAAGAATCAGAGCTCACCTGTAAACTGGAACTATTAGTTTGTAATCTTCTCACTGATAAATGAAGGTAACTCTGAGTATTTTCATGTCTGTGTTCTCCACTTTTCTTATACAGGCATTTCAATTTATTTCACTCTTAGTGGGTGTATTGCGGGGGAATCTGAAGCAGTAAATGTCAAGTTTGAAGTGGTTTGAATATTTGAGCTAGTTCAACTTCTTTTTTGGCAAATTTCCTGCCTCTGGGAAACACTGCAGTGAAACACACAAATAACGTACCTGCAAACACCTAATGTGTATCTACATGTCGCCAACTGCTTGTTCACAGGAAATCATTGGAAGTCCAGACATTTGGAATAAAATGATACAGAAGAAGATGCTGTGGCCTGATTTAAACTCCATGAATGGAAGCATATTTTAAATGGGCACTTTACTACTTCTTTACACTGATTTGGAAATATGAAGAAAAAAAAATCACTTCACCTTAACAAATCACCTTTGGCTCATCCCAAAGACGCTCATGCACTACAGCTCTATTAATCATCTGTCTCAATTTCGCTTTCGCAATTTAACTTTTTTTCTTGTTGTAGTTTTACGAGGATAAAAGCAAGACAGTGAGAGGCACCGAACAAATAAAATATTTTGTCCTATTCTGCTTCACACTACTTTGAAATAGAGGGGGGAAATCCATAGCACGGGGAGAGCTGGGCATCTTTATGGAGGAGAGTAAAAGGTTTCCTCTTCATTAGTTCAAAGAGTACTCGCTTACTCTCTCCTTTGCCGTTCCATTGTCCTGGGTTAAAAGCAACAAAAACACCCCCGCCTCACCTACACCTCTGTCCTCCACAACACGCATGTGCACGCATTCACGCGCACGCACGATTTCTTTCATAGGCCGCTGCTCGCAGCTTTGATCTGATAAGAGGCTGGTCCTTGTGAAGGTGGGTGAAGTAAATCAAACAGCAGATCACAGACACGCATACGCACACGCACATATCACTGTCAGGCCACTATTGTCCTCTTACACTTAAATCAGAGTGGAAGAGGTTGAAAATAAATACTACTGAGAGGCGGCGGCAGTCTTTTATGTTCCTAAAAGCCTGCTTGGTTTATTCCCTCTTCACCATCTTCAATTATACTCAATTAACAAAAGCTAGGAGCTGGTCTAACCTTCCCAAAGAAGACAGCTGTTAAAGCTAAGAACTCGTCATACGTGATGTGAAACAGAGGAGAACTCAGGCAGAGAGAAGATGTGATGTGCACAAATCTGCAAATGTAATCAAATGGGTGTTTATTTTAGGTGCAGCGTATTGATTTATGCTAATTTAAGATGATTTAAAGCATAATAAGCTAAGTGTAACAAACACTTGGATTTGTTAGCACATTTAGGCAATTCCTATTTAGCAAGAGAAACATTGTTTCTAATTTATGTGTGAGCTATACTATTGCTTTGTTTTGTTTGTTATGAATACAAAAACATGTACCAAATTCAGAGTGCAGCTCCAAACTAGCATTTTACTTAGGATATACTGTGTAGCACAACAGTGCACTTGGTACATATGTATTCCTCTGGATAATCAGAATAACAGAACTGATAGTTCACCTTTCATGCGCATTCATTCAGGACATTCACATAAATGTCATCATGCTAATGCAAAACGGACACGAGCAGTTTCCCAATACAGCATGAGCCAGCCACTGGGGTCCACTGAGACTTTATCGTTGGCATGCAATGGACAGCATCAGTGAGCAAAAGCTTGCAGCTGCCTTTCACTGAGTTTTTATTTGCACGTTGCAAAGCACTTCTAAAAAACATAGTTATCTCTGCAACGGAGTTTATGTTTCTGGTAGCATTTGCATGTGTGTCGTCATTTTGTCTCTGTAGTTTTTAACAGGTTTTGAGTGAATTCTGCTGAAACGTTGTAGCGGTTTAGAGTGGGGTCGTGTTAACAATCCATTCAAAGTTTGCTTACGTCAACTTAACGATTTATTGTGTGAAAATTGACACAAATCCTTAGGAACTATCATTCTTAGTGTGGTACATATTGTCAACACATAGAAAGTACTGTATAAAGATTTAAAATATTATGTCACATTTGACCTCTGATTAACAAACTGATCTGAAGGTCAAAGTAACAGCGCTATTTAAAACTATGTATCTTATTGCCATTATTTGTAATGACAGTTTGTACTGTCATATAGGGAATGAGCTATGACATACGGGGAATCTAAATTTCACCTCTAAGCTCTACTTCAAGGTCAAACTTTCAGAAAATGGTATGTGTGGTTTAAAAATATCACATTATAGTTTGCATCCAAATATCATGTCACATTTGACCTCTGACCTCAACTTTACATTTGACTTTTGTCTTATTTCAAACTAACACCAAAATGTGTTATTTTGATTGCACTACAAACTTCTTAAAGTGCATTCAAAAAGAACAATGTAAACTAAAAGAATATGTACAGAATACAATACTATTATTATTAAAAGTAAATACTGTAGAGTGAGCTGCCATGGTGGAGGTTTGCACTCTCTGAGTTCTTCTTGTTTTATTATATTTCTGTTTTAACTTATATTCCACTATATACAATATGATTGTGGGCTTTTAAATACACTGGTTAAAGAAAGTGTTAACAGGAATATTTTCAGATGCATCTCAAACGTCAGGTCAAATTAAACTGGGAGTAGTATTGGTAGGCTATTGAAGATATAACCATTTTCAGCTGGCTAAGCAGTTAAACACCAGAGCGGTGTGTGGCAATAGTTCCCAGAAACTTTTAGAGAAAAGTATTTCCAAAGTCACTCTATTTACGTTGGTTTCCAAAAGTGAAACCAATGACAACGGGATGGATGAAAAATTTCCGTGGAGGCGCATAAACTCGCTGGCAAATAGTGAGTGTGTGCACGCATGTGTGAGGGTGTGTGCGTGTATGTCCCAATAGCCTTGTTAAACCCCTTCAGCCTCTCCTCTCGGGGAGCAGCCAGGACATGGTGATCAATACACATGATAGGGAGCTAATCGCTCTCTGTCAAACCAAGCCCTGCCATCTACTAATGGCACACGCTCACTTGGGAATGCGCGTGTGTGTGTGTGTGTGTGTGTGTGTGTGTGTGTGTGTGTGTGTGTGTGTGTGTGTGTTTTCAGGCCTTAATGGCAGATTGAGACTCTTCAGGGAGTGTTGCTCAAGGTTAGGCTCAGGGGACGAGGGGCAATTGACCATACTGTCTGTGACACTGACCCCTCTACTGTCAGCACATTCATCATCCAACTGTGATGCATGGGCAGCACACACACACAAACACACACACACACACACACACACACAACAAAATGCACACAATTTCCAAAAACACATGCCACATATACCTGAACTGAAAAATGACATCGTAAGTTTGTGCAACATCAATTATCAAAGCTGCTGACACTTTGCCCTTCACAATAAAAGCATCACTAAATAGAAAAAGAGATATACAAAAGGAACATGGTATGAGATCAATGGAAAATAAAAATAAAGAAAAAACTGAAAAACAAGTTTGGAAAACTCATTTTTAAACAGTGAGTGGGGTAAAAGAGACACAGAGAGAGAGCAGTGGAGTACTTGCTTGATTGAACAGCTGAGATAGAACTGACAGAGGCACAATGTGAATGTGTGGAAGAGGAGGGGAAGAAAGACAGCGAGATGGAAGGAGTAAAACTGCATGAATGTGTGTTTAAAGACATCCCATGAAGAGTGTGAGTGTGCGTGTGAGAGTGTGTGTGTGCGCGCACGTGTGTGTTTGTTTGTGTGCAAAAATGGCTCTATAGAACTGAAATGAATGAACAAGGAAGGTGCTGACGAAACGCAGAAAGAAAACTGTGGGTGTTAGAGAGAGAGAGTGAGTGTGTGTGTCTGTGCAATACTCCCATGTCTCTATATGAATGAGTGGATGCGGTGGATGGCAGGCAGCTGCAGCAGTGTGATAGCCGAGCCGAGCTGCACAGATATCAGCGCTGACATTTTGGGCTTCACTACCCACCCACGGCCCCACGGGAAACTGATGGCAATAGCAGCAACAGTGGCCGCATCACCCCACCGTCGCTGCCTCCGCTGCAGCCCCAACCCCTCCCTGAGCTTGTCAATCTCAAAGCTTTGCTTCCTGACGCACCGTCGGCCTTAGCCTGGCTCTGGTTGGACCCATTATGCCACACAGCAGTGAGCACACCGCATGAACTACCGTCACCAGACCCCGCAATGCACTGCTGATTCCTATCTAGTCCTCAACCCTCCCACCACACTCACCAAGTCTGCCTCTTCATTCAATCGCATCTCTAGCTGCCAGACTGATAGTCCTGACCGCAGAGAGAAAAACGACAGAGAAGAGGGGGTTTTTTTCTGTGTGTGTGTGTGTGTGTGTTACTGTTGCAGAGAAGGCGAACAAGGAAAGATGGGGAGCTCTACAGTAGCACACAGTAAAGGGAGGGAGGGCAAAACTGCTGAAAGAGAGGAAATAGATAACAGCGTGATACACTCTGGCCCCTCCTCTAGGCTTCTTTTAGGGCACCTCTTGGCCTCCTCTCCTCTACCTCATTCCTCCCTCCTTCCTCCTCCCCCACCAACCCCTGGGCCCTCTGGTGTGTTGCTCACTCCATTGTGTCAACCTTCAGAAGTGCTCAGTTTGAGTGGCAGGCCGTCACAGATCAGTTCCCTGCTAAAGCGGCCCGGCAGGCCAGGGTGACGGGCCAGGAAGGGATCTAAGTGGGGTTTATCAGCGCTTCTTAACGCCTCTCCGGCTGCCTGACACAAAAGAGAGGGGTATTAAACATCTAAAGCAAACCAAAAAGCGTGAAAGCTCCTTATAGGGCCGCGGGATTGCGGATGTGACTGGAGTCTTAAAAAAAATAGCAGAAAAAAAAGAGAGGAAAAAAAAAAAGAAAAATAAGGAGAAGGGGAAAAAACACACACACAAACGTCTCAACAGTGAGAAAGTATTGAGGGAAAATTC